CACAGGGAGTGTGTGTGTGTGTTTGTGCTCAGCTGGGGGTTGTGTGATTCTGTGTGTACATGCAGGGCTGGTGGCACAGGCTGTGGCTGTCCCAAAGCTCAGTGCCTGCCTGGGAATGTGTCCCAGGACACCAGGGCCAGTGTGCCCCATCCCCCTCTGCCACCTGCACTCCCACCCAAGGGACTAAACTAACAGCTCAGCCCAAGTGCCTGACCCAGCACCAGCTTTGGGTGGTCCCATGCCCAGAGCTCTTGCCATACCCCAAAATCCCTAGCTCCATGTGAGGATGGGACAGACTTTACATGTAGAACTGTCCCAAAAAGTGACAGGTTGGTCTCCAGAGCTTCCTGCACTGAGGCCACGCAGCAATGTGCCAGCAGCAATATTGACCCTTGGCTGGATGGTGCTGAGGAGCTCTGTGTGGGCAGAGGGAAGGCAAAGGCTCTCCAAAGCAGCAGCAACACCAACAGCTCCTGCTTTCCATGCCTGTTCCTGCTGTGTCCGTGGGAAATCTCTCCTGCCCTGCCAAGCGCCGGCGGCTGCAGCTGGGGCACGAGCCATGGGTTTGTGCAGCTGGGAGCCAACTCCAGCCCTGGCAGCAGCTCAGCCCTCCAGGGAAGCAGGGAGGCATTGGCCAGGCAGCTCCTGGGGTCAGGGACAGCCCTGGCAGCTCGAGGTTCTTGGGATTAAACACTCAGAGCTGCCAACCCCAAGGCCACGTGGCTAAACATGGGAACAGCTTCCAGACCTGCAGGTTCCTGGGGAGCTCTGGGGCTTTGTTACCTGGAGCAGGACCATGGGGAGAGGTGCCAGGCACCTGCCTGCCCCATGCCAGGAGTTTCCTTGCTTTCTGTTCCCACATCTTCTCCTGGGAAGGGGTTGGAATCCCCTGGGCACCAGTGATGAGTACACAGGGCAGTTATCACCACCCAAACCTGTCCTGCTGTGGCAGCCTCACCCTCTCACCTTGGATCAATGTCCCTATTTTTGGCATTCCCAGCACTGTTTTTGTGGCTGGATGCAGGGACGAAGTGTGGGGAGGCTTCTCTGGGAGCAGGACCTTAGAAGTCAGAGCAAAAGCACAACTGGAGGATGTGGAAGATGCTGCAGCTTGAGTGCCCTCAGGTTTTGGCCCTGGGAGTGCCCAGCAGTGCTCCCCAGGCTGACTGCTTGGCTGTGAGCAGGTTAACACCATCCCAGCACAGCCTAAACTAACAAATTCTGTGGGTTTTTTAGTTGCTTGTATTTTTTTTTTCATCTATGCAGCTTATTTTTCCAGCCATGAAAACTAATAAACCAAGTAGAAAAGCTGCATTTTTTGGCTCTGAAAGCAGCTGGTCTCACATAAGGAGCTGATCCTAAAGAGCAGAGTTGAAGCAAAAAAAGCAATCCTGAAATCTCAGGGAAATGGGAGGTAAACTGGGCAGGATGATGGGAACCACCCACCTGGGGCTGGGCAGTGCTGTGGCCCAGAGGTGAAATCCCACAGTGGTTTGGGTTGGAAAAGACCTTAGAGCTCACCTAGTTCCACCCCCTGCCATGGGAAGGGACACGTTTACCAGACTCTGCTGCTCCAGCCCCTCCTCCAGTCTGGGATTGAACACTTCCAGGGAAGTGATGCAGATGAAACATCCCAGACGTGTGTGGCTCAGTGTCACCCTGCCCTGGCTGGAGAAAATTACTCAGTTCCAGTTTGCACTCTGAGTAAACACTGTGTACCACAGGAACTAACCTCATGCTTTGTTTCCCCCTCCTCTGCCAACCTGAGCCAGAATGTTGTCACAGAACCTGATAAAGGCAGTTCAGAGAACTTGCTAAACATACAAACCACACTTAGATCCTCTCTGGCCTTTCTGCTTGGCTCAGTGATAAGGATCTGGGCTATTTTGGCTGATCATCCAGGGGCAGTTTCTTCTCTCTGAACCTTTCCCTGCCTTCCAACATCTTCCTGGGAATGGGATGCCCCAAACTCAGCCCAGCTCAGGCACCACCACACAAGACCAGAGAAATCCAACCCCAAACTGCAGCTCTACAAACTCTCCCAGGGGTTATCCCATGTCATGTACTGCTGTCAGCTCCATCCGGGAGCAGATCAGAGCCTCAGGCTCTTCCTGGGAATTCACCAACGTCTGGAACTCTTTACACAGAACAATGTTGCCCCAAACCCCCTGAGCCTGGCCTCAAAAACAATAGGGCTGATTTAGAAATCATCAGTTTGCAGTTGCAGGGTTTCATCTGAGCCCTTGGGAACACACCTGGGGAGGAGATAACCCTTTTTCAGGCTTCTCTGTACTTTAGGCATTGGAAAACTTGTTTAAAAATACAAACTACCTTTGTGCTGAAATCACCTGGTGCCAGAAATCAGAGTTTTTAAAGGAAAGCATTAAAACAGCGTGAGGAAAAATAACAGAGCCATAAATGGGATTTAGAAGTGCCCCCTATGCCCTTAAAATGCCACGGGCACAGGGATTACCTATCCCTGAGCTCTCCCAGTGCATTTTCTGTTCACGCAGGACAGTCCCACCCCAATCCTTCCATTACAAACCAGTGCCCAGAGCCAAACCCAGCGGAGGTAGAGGCTATAAACTCCCCACACCCGATGAGAACAACCCACCAAATCACCTCTCGACCCTGCAACATCCCTGAGAACCTCCTGGTCCTGACCCAGCCAAAGCCCAAGCAAGTGGGAACACACGGTGATTCAAGCTGCCAGTTCCCTCTCCGAGCGCTTTTCCCAAGAAACCACAGCCCCTGGGAATGCAGAAAGCTCTGCACTTTGTGGAAATAACAGGCAACACCTTTCACGGAGCGACCCGGCTGCAAGAAAACGAGCCCCAAACCTACCCCAGCTGGTAGCGGCGCAGAGCCAGAGGATGCTGAGCGCGGCGGAGACTGGTCCCATCTTCTCCTGCGAGCCCTGGGCGAGTGAGGCTGCTGGGACCAGCCCCGGGCAGGGCGAGGGGGAGCAGCGGAGGGGCAATAAGGCGCTGTGAGCAGCGCAGGGGATGAATCATGGGTCGGTCGGGGCTGACACGGCGAGCGCAGTCAGGACTGTCCCCGCCCGCTGCTGCCGCTGCTGCTGCTTGGCCCGGGCTCTGCCCTCACCAGCCCCTCACAAACCTCTGGCAGAGACTCCTCGGCACTGCTGACCTCCCGCCCTGCCGCTGCTCGCTGCCTCTTTCCCATCCGCACTTCCCCCTGCCTTTAATTCCTCGCTAAAACTTGCTCACTCCTTCCCCTTGTTAACTCTTGCGGGCCAAGCAGCTGGTTGTAAACCTGGCTGAGCTGGGTTTGAAGGCAAAAGAGCTAATCCACACCCATGGGAGAGTGTGGGTTCTCAGCTCCCTCCCCAAAAGGGATAAATGGGAATATCCCTGATGAAAAACAAGTTGGGAGCCAAAGGAGACCCAGGCAGGAATTGGATCGGATGGAAACAGCAGTTTGGGTATAAACCTGGACCTCACAAAGAGATGGAAGTTCAGAGGTCTTGGACCTGGTTTTCTTCTCATTTGTGTTGTTTCTTTCTCCTCTGTGTCATTAGGAATTGCTCCTGGACTGAGCAAGCACAGGGAGTGGGATCTGCACAGGGATTGTCCCCACTGAAATGCCAGAGCTGCCTGTGGATGCCTCCCAGAGGGGATTGATCACCCTCTCATTCCCCTGCAACACCAAGGTCCTGCTCAGAGATGGGGAAACTGAGGCACTGGCAATACAGGCTGGGGACAAAAGGAAGAGAAGGGCTGTATCCCTGGGGCACTGGGATTCTCTCTCCCACCAGGTGACAAGGATTGACTGTAGCTTCCTGAGCTGGTCCTATCTGAGGACAAGGATGGCATGAACTTAATCTAGTCTGTTTGGATGGAATTTATCTGCAGACTGCAAGAAGATGCTGCTTGGCCTGGAAACACTGCTGGGATGTGGCTGCCCCATCCCTGGGAGTGTTCCAGGCCAGGCTGGATGGGGCTTGGAGCACCCTGGGCTGGGGGAAGGTGTCCCTGCCCATGGCATGGGGTGGAATGGGATGATCTCTAAGGTCCTTCCAACCCAAACCTATCCAGGATTCTCTGGTGTTTCCTCCAGGCAGCACGTCCAGGCTGTGGGCTGCTCTAGGTTTTGGGATCCCTGGTGGGATGAAGGCAGGAGAAGGCAGGATGAAGGCAGTTTCAGAGCTCTGGTTGCTCCATCAGTGCAGGCTGTGACCCAGGAGCTGTGGGTACACCCGAATCCTTGCTGGGGTGTGCTGCGAGAGGAAAGGCTGGAGCTGGAGCCACCAGAGGGAGCAGAAACTCCTTCGGTTTGGGAGTGAGCAGGGAGAGCAGCTCCCACCGGGGCTGGGGCACTGTGCATGCTCTGGTTTCCCGTGGGATTTTTCCTGGTTCCTCAGGTTAAACACGAGCAGATGCTCGTTGGAGCTTTCACCTCCCTTCGGCAAGTGTCTCTGCTGCAAACTCAGGGGGAGAAAGTGCAGGACAAGGAGGAAAGTGCAACAAGTAAACCCCAAAGTGAACTATTGTGAGCCCCTGAGGTCACAGCAGCAGAGCAGGGGCACAGGGCCAGCTGCCCAGATGGAAGATCAGTTGACACTGTCTCTACCAAGCTGCTCTCCACTCTGAGCCAGCCACACGCTCCTGCCTTTGGCTGCAATTCATCAATCCTCATTTTCAGCCTCTTCCAATCCCCTCAGGGGCTGGGCAAAGGAAGAGAGCCAAGATGCACATGGATAAAGCAGGACAAGGTCCTCACATCATGGCTTTGGGGGGGGGTGTGATGTGCTGCTCTGTGCCATCCAGACACAAGTAAATACTGATGGGCAAAGCTGGGACAAGGCAATCCCATGGGCACAGTCCTGGGATGAGCAGGATCAGGACTTAGCCAGACACACTGAACACACGTGGTGTCACTTTGGGAGCTTATGCAGACACTGAGAGGGGAGTGGGGAGGAAGATTCCCCTGAGATTGCCTCGGTGGGGCTGAAATTCCTGAAGGAGAGGGTTGGAGATGCTCCAGCCCTGGGTGCTGCAGTGATGCAAGACCCAGAGCTGGGCACAGGGCAGAGCTGCAGCACTGCAGAGCTCCCCTTTGGAGGGCTAAAGGAGCAGGAGGAGGAGAAGAGAGAGACAAGAATGCCCCAAGGAGGAAAGCCTCATCCAGAGGAATAGGATGCAGAGAAGAGGATGGATCCAGCTCTCCTCTGGAGGCTCAGGACAGGCATCACCAAGCAGAGCTGGGGGTGGACTGGCTGGATTGGGCCACGCTGCTCAGAGAAGGAGTGGGTGGCACAGAGCAGCGAGGAAGGATCAGCCACAGCAGCACTGACTTGAGGCTCACAGGACCCTCCGGGGGGACAGGGACCTGCCAGCAGCCCAGGATGAGCACCCACCAGGAGGGATGCTGTGGGGGCAGGTGCAGGGGCTGCAGGGAGGGCTGAGTTAGGTGTCACTCCGCAGGATTTAGGGATCATCCCCCACTTGGGGGTGGCACAGGGTTGGCAGACACAGAGGGGGTGCAGAGCGTGGGGAAGGGGTGAGCAGCCTGGGTGAGCGTGGAGGGGGAGGAAGGCGGTCCTGGGGGGAGGCTGGAAGAGTTGCTGGTTTTTTTTTTTTCTTTGAATCCGGTGAAGACTTTAGCTTGGAACTTGCATTTGAAGAGCTCCAGGCGGATCACACCAGCTCTGCCTCCCACGGGAGAGCCCTCGGGAATGGGTGGCACTGCCCTGCTGCCCTGTGCTTTGGGAGGCAGCCTGGGGCAGCAGTGAGGGCAGAGGGCATGGGGCATCTCCCTCTGCCAGGAGAGTCCCCTTTGCCTCTTCTCTCTCCCTTGGTTTGCTCAGGAGCTGGTGCTAACACCGTGCCAGGAGGGATCTGGGAGTGATCTGGGATCCAGCCAGCCCTGGGCTGCATGGTCTACCTTCCCAGCTGCTCTCAGCCTCCACAAGTTCCCCCTCCATCCCAGGCTCTGCGAGAAGAAGGGCAGAGGAGGTGGCTGTGGTCCCTGGGTCAGCAGGAGGACACCAACCAGCTTTCCTTTCACCTTTGCTGAAGATCTGGGGTCACACCTAGACCATGAATGGATCCTTTTTCAACCAGACTGTGCTGGAGCAGGGAGCTGACCCCAACAGGACCCAGGGCTTGGGGGTGCTCCTGGCCTGCTGCAATGGGAGCAGCTCGGTGCTGGCGACCGACGGAGGCTCCTCGGGGCTGCTGCCTGATGAGAGGAGCCTTTTCATCACCAGGGTGGTGCAGATCGCTGTCCTCTGCGTCCTCTCCTTGACTGTGATGTTTGGCATCTTCTTTTTGGGCTGCAACTTGCTCATCAAGTCTGAGAGCATGATTAACTTTTTGGTGAAGGACCGAAGACCTTCCAAGGACGTGGGAGCTGCAATCATGGGACTTTACTGAGCCCACCAGGCTCTTGTAGGCAAGTGGAGCTGGTGCTGAGATGTACATTCCCATGGGGTTGGGGGATTGGAAAGGAGGGGGGAAGGGGTTCTTTTTACCTGTCTGTGTCCATGGGGAAGCAAACCTGCTCTTCCCAGTCAACAAACTGTCGTGGTGAATGGGGAAACCTCCCCAGAGCTGTGTGAAGCACAATAAACCAACAGCATCATGTTGCATGCAGAAATGGCTTAAGTTTTGCATGAAACTTGCAGAAACAGTGCTAATGTGCAGATTTGGACTCTTTCCTGCTGTTACCTTGGATACCACTACCTGGGATTTAGGGCTAAACAAAAAGAAATAAAGGGAAATAGCTTTGGTTAGAAAAAGAAAACCAAGTCGAGGGAAAGCAAAAGCACAGAGCTCATCTGTGACTGGGGCAGGGGAAGGGAAGGGGAAGGGAAGAGCCTTGTGTGTCGTACAACAAAGTCTGCATGCTACAAAATGTGTCAGTCTGTTGTGTTCTGGACCTCGAGTTTGCATCCTCTGGCAGTTTTGTAACAGGGCAAGCATATTGTTCCTTGTTTTCCTCAGCTATCCTGTTCAATAAACTGGTGTTTTCTTCTTTCACTCCATGCTGAAGGAAGAAAAGGACCCAGATCCATCCCCTCCCCACTCCACCCCCACAACGAAGCATGTTTGGGTTTGTACACACCTGCCTTTTTTTTTTTTTTTTTGCCAAGTGCTTATTGTTACAGTCCTTGAGGTTTTTGTAGTCTTTTTGAACACTGGTGAACATTCAGGAAAAGAAAACCTGTTTCAAAAGAATTTTGTGGTGTCTTTTTTCTTTGTGTGTGTGGAGCTCAGGAACCTCAATCAGATATAATCACCTCAACCTTCCAATTGAACTGTAGAGGTATTTCTTTAAAGCAGAAACGACTATCATTTTTTTTTTCCACAGGCAAATAGTTTCCACTAGCAAATAAATAATCAGCATCTCCATATTCCAGAGTGTCAGGTACCTGCACAGTGAGGCAGAGACTCAGAGATGCTCCGAGTGCCTCTTGCAAAGCAAGATTTCAGCCTCCAAGTTAAAACCTCCAGCTCCCCTGATCCTGATGAGCTGTCAAAGCTGAATTATGTGAGAGGAGGAGGACTCCTGACCTTTGTTCTGTGATGGAATTACAGCTCTGGCTGTGGGTGTGAGATGGAAATAATTTGGGTTTTGTTGCGCCAACAATATCCCTGCTGAGTTCACTGCTGCACTGGGAAAGCAATCGTGGATGCTGGAGGAGCTGATGAGCTGAGCTATTTGGATGTAAATCCAGAAGAACAGCTCTCTGCCTTTCCCAGAAGGAGAAACATGATTAGAGAATGCTTTGCAATTAATCACTGTTTGCTGAGCACCTTCCCAATGCCCCCACAGGATGCAGAGCAGGACTAGGGCAGTGCTGCCTCTGCTTCTTCCCACTGACCTGTTGTCTCTGGCAGCACAACGTGGCAGCAGCACCAGGATTTGGAAGTAGAG